TTTGTGAGTGGCGAAATTCTATAAACGTTATGTATTCGCTATTTGATTATTTACTCACGTTGTACAGTCACTGATAAGGTGGAAGTCGTAGAGACATACTACAAAATGGTGTATTTTATTTTTTTGGTATAATTGTATTTTTTTATTCTGGTTTTCGGTTATTTTAATATTTTACTGAATCACAATTAGTAGCCAAAGCAGTATGTTGGGAGTAGATAAAACATTTTAGGAAATTGATCATATCGTTTTAAACTTTGTGTTTATATATACATATATATAGTTTTAAATAACCGATATAGAAACTAAGTATTTATCACGGGAATAAATATGAAAAAAATTATTATATTGTAAGAGAAATCAACTATCAACTTTGTTCAAACATGTATCTGTGATATTTTTATATTTGTTAATAGTTGAAATGTTTTAATGTTAAACTAGTTCTATAAGATCAAGTACCTCAAAGTTGTCTTTTGTTCCTTCTTACGCTAACGCCAAAACTAAATTCTTAATATTGAAATGACGTGGCTGGTTAAATTTCCATTCAAAATCAATATTCGGATATTTAATTCCAAAATCCTCCTTCATACTGTGTGGGATATTAATCGGATATTGGTATAGTAAAATACATTTTTCTATTTGCTCCTTATTTAGTCCGGTGCTCTAAGTTAAGTAAAATGGTTTATAGTTAAATACTAGTACCGGGTGATATATCAAATGTAAGACACTCATTTTCTGGTAAAACGATTTCAATATTATAGTTTTACTAATGTTTACTAAGAATTACAATATTATAAATTTATCAAAAATGTATCTTTTTTAAGATCTAAGGAGTTCTCAGGCAACCTAAATAATTAATAGAGAAACCCGATTTTTAATTGTTAACCTTTTTTATGTAAAAAAATTGGGTTTTAATATTGAAAAAAGTACATATTTAATTTTATTAATTACAAGAAACAGAAATTTTTAAATAAAAATCTACTTACAAATCTGCTTACAATCGACGCCTGTCGATTTTACTTCATGTAAATTTGATTGTTCGGCAAAGCGTGTTCTGGATCACAATGTTCGATGATGTGTCTTATAGTTTTTTCGCACCATTTATGTAGATGTTGTTGGCATGGGCCTTTCTCCGTTCTAATCCGATTTAAAGTAGTCCACAAAGATCTTGGGAGATCAAAACCTAGGACTCTACAGCGTGGGTCGTTCACTAATTCAGCATTCTTTGTACCCGAGGTTTTCCTATCAGCCAGCCAGTAGACCTATAATATTATTCCTAGTTTTGATTTGATTTTTTACTTTATCAGCTCATACTCCTCTTGTAGTAAAATATATATATGCGGCGCTCAGGCCCCAAACCGATTAACTCCATAAAATAGAATTTTTCACGACAGGCAGTTAAAGTTATTTGAAAAAATGTATGCAAGTACAATTGCCAATTTTCTTAGCGCACTCTAGTGGTGAAAATCTCAACTGTCGAGTTATTTATCTTGGCCACGGAGAATTATACACTTTTTTAATCCAACCATGCTATTATTCGCGATTTGAAAAAAAAAGTGGTGTTAATCGGTTTGGCATCTGAGCGCTTCATATATATATATATATATAATTGTTTTTTTATACATATGCCATGACATATGCGCGCATCTCTCGGCAATCGCCTCCCACCGCGACGTGCTTCGGTTAAGTTCAAGGTTCGGACGGAGACCGTCGTGTACTTTTTGTGGAAGAACGCATTATAAATTATTCACTGCTATTTCAATAAAGTCTTTTACGTCAACGGTTTTGAATACATAAGAAAATCACTTTTTTTTCCATTCGGCGGTGTTAAAACGAATAACGCGAATTTTTGGTTTCATTTTAAATAGGCAATAATATTTTAATATTGACAGTGTTCTCGCCTATAAATATATATATACATACCAAGAGGTATATCAATAATACCTATCGTAGAACATATTTCTAGTATAAATCAAATCTACATAAATTGACCTTTAGAGTAATACAATATATATTTATATATTTTTTTTCATTCGATTACTGTGACTGTTAATTATGTTTTCAAACGGAACATCAAGAAAAATTATCGCTGTAACATTTTTCCTATTGGCATTAACTTTGGGTAATCTAAATTTGTTACAATAATACAACATTATATAATTATTAAAAATATGCAATTCGATTATATTTATGTTTACCACTATATTTCAGTTACAAATGGAGAAGGTAAGTGATCTCATATAACGATACAATATTAGCATCATTTTGTGTGATGTCTACTAATCAGTTTTTTTATAACTTTTTTTTAGATCCTGTCGAGAATAAAGATGACAACAAAATATATTCTGTCAATACTGCCAACTGTATGTACATTTTTAAATGTTTTTTATAATCTTAAATTTCACAATGTCGTTATGTAGTGTTTTAATATATATTTAATAATATAAAAATTAAAGATATTTAAGAAATGTGCTATTTGATGATTTCATATACTTTCATTAGACGCCCTGTATATTATTTTATTATGTAAAATATCTTAAAATTTTTCAGATGGACGTGGCTTACTTAAAAAGATTCCAAACACAATCCCAACAGAAGATCCTAAAGGTATAGTTAACATTAAAATATTGAAGAAGTAAGCTGTTATTTGCAAAACATTAAAATTCTAAGTCTATGATTAGTTAACTTTAACAATTAAAATATAACGAAATAAGTTAAATTATTAATTATTAAGTCATACACACTGCTGATGAAAACGTTTTATTAACTCCTTAACTTAAAAAGTTTATACTTGGTAATATATTTTTATTGCAAAAGAACATTTTCTGATTCCATATACCATAACTAATTTAACAATCTATATTACCAAATTATATGTTATGGATTATATTTTTTATAATTTATTGTATTATAACATAAAACGATGAGTTTTCAAACGTTGTTTAACAAAATAAGAAACAATAAAATCCTACGAATAAAACTAGAAATAAAAGAGTTAACAAAACTTCATATTATGTGTATGGTGTAACTCTAATTGTATGATAATATAGTCTATAAAGTTAATTATTTGGATAATGACATTCATTGTGTCAGTTTAAATTGTTTATATAATCCGGTTTAACTTGAAGTGTGCTATTTTAGTTAAAGGTTATTTCCACCTTAACCATCAACCTTCAATCGAGCAAGGTTAGTATGCCTATCAATCTCATTAAGTTGACAATCCTACGAAAGAATTCTCTATTTAATGATTAGTATATATTTTAGGTACAATAAAATCTGGTTAAAAATTTTAAAATATTATTTTTAATCTTACCGTTCTTGTTAACAGATCAAATTGCTCTACTACCGAAAAAGACTGGCGGATGTAAGTATGATTTTGTTTTATACTTTACTAGGTATCTAATGTTTTTAAGTAACAAAGAGTGTCTGAAGTAGGTTGGTTGTTTTCCTATTTTAAGACACCTACTCCATGATAAATACCTTTTTAATTATACTTTTGAAGTAAAGTTTTTATAGGTTCGTAGATTTTTTTTTACCAAACATTGAACTAACTACCTATTTTGAAAAATCAATTATTTTATAAATGTTCACATAGTAGGAACAGCTCTTGAAATGATTTTATACACTTTAACTTAAATTTTTCTAAATGAGTAAAATTGGCGTTTGTATTTTTATGTTTTCATTTAATTTATTTTCTTAATTCTGTAATTTTCCGCCTCTACCACAAGTTGCGTTAAAGATCATAGTTATAATTCAGATTCAATTTGTTGTACAGCTGTTTTGATTTTCTTCGAAATTTTTTTTAAAAAGTAGTTGTACATTAATAAACTTGACTTTATAAAATTATACTCTTGATATATATTATTGAAATGAACCAAATTATACATTGGTTTTGAATATTTTTATTTTGTATTTTAGCTAAATGTTGGCCATTATAAGCCGTAAGTTTTTTGGTATACTTCCTAATTACAATGCAATGTCATTACTATAATAAGACGTTTTAACTTATAATTCATAATTAATTAAATTATTTATTCAAATTAATTAATTTTAAATTAAAAAAAAATAAATGTAATTTGATGTCTTTGATTTTATTTGTAAGAATTTTATTTTAACCATTCAGCGGAAAACATATTTACCGATAATAAAATTAGGTGCATACAAATTTGACCAAATTATAAAATTAACTTATTTAATTTAATTGCGCTTTATTGTGACTGTTACTTTACACCAAAGCAAACTAATCCAATTAGTTATTTGAATATTTGGTGAAGTTTGTGTGTACTTACTAATATTTATACCATAATTTAGATTGTTAAAATACACATTTCTTAAAAGTAAAATTAAAGATATTAAAATAATAAATTATATTATATTAATCAATTTTAAGTTGCACTTGACTTTATGGATTTTTTTAAAAATAATATAATACACCTGATTAATCACACTTATAATGTCTTTTTTAATTTATTCAATACTCTAACGATATCCTATAATGTTATCCTTATTCTGTACTGTTTAATAAAATACAATATAATATCCTCCGCAGTATTGTATGGCATCTATAAACGAGAAAATAATCAGAAAATTATTTTTTCATAACATTCATAACACTTATGATCAGATAATATAAAACAAAAATAACCTATATAGGGCATAGTAGGGACGTGGAGGACACGATATGATTTTAGATATATATATGCCTAAAGAAAGAAAATCGATAATTAATCGAATAAGTTCCCGGCTTACATGGAGTTTTTGCCTTTGACATAGTAGTGCTGATAAATGACGTGTAGAAGGCTTTTTTTTTTGTATACAGTAAATAATACGTGTTCATTTATTATTTGTAAGTACGGCGGTTTTTGTTTTTTTTTTAAATCATTTTAACCTAAGTCCTCACACATTTAAAAACGTTATAAATTGTGGGACACTTGTGTACACAAAAACGATACAACTTAATTTTCGAAATCGAGAAAAACTCCTGACAAATTTACATATTTTTCGACTTGTAATATTTCTTATAGACCTGTGTAATCACAAATGCTTTACATTTTGAGTCATAAAACAAGACGTGTACAATTAATAATATTATTATGTCTACATTGTCTACGTTTGTACACCCGTGATGTTATTTTAAATGAAATATTATATTTTGTTGGATGAATATTCAAACTATACCTATAGCAGTTGCAGAAGAATATAATATCGAAAGGTATGTATGAAAAACCCTAAAATAGGATGTCTGAATCTTGTCGACTGATTAAAACCTTTGATTTTTTTTTTTAACAATATTTTAAGTTATATTAATAGGTGCACATAATAATGCGAAAAAACGAAATGTTTTTATACATTGAAAATTCAAAAGAGTCATTTATTTCAAGTAAATTGTGTATCCGTTCGATGGATTGACTTAATATGTACAATATCTAATTATGGGTTTAAAAAGCCAGATCTGTCCAGCCGGGGGACGGGCGCAAACTGTTCAAGTTCTTAATTTGCTCAAATTATCTAAAATATTTTATAATGTACCGTACCGAATGTTTATTTAATCACACTAAGTGTCTAAGCGTATTTTTTTTATAAAAAATTATCCCCCCTAAAAACAAAAATATGTTTTTTAAAACATTATTGTATATTGGTACAATGCTTTTACGGATATTTGTATTTCTACTATTGCAGATTAGCATCAAAGCGTTTGTTTGAAAGCGACACTATCACTTTTTGTTGTAATAATTCATTTATATCCGTGAACTTAACTTTTTCAATTTATTTTTGTAAAATTATTACTTTGATCTTTATTTAAATGAAAACTAAATTGTATACAAATAATACGCTGGCCTGAATTCGGCTTAGTTCACTTATAAATTAAATAACATAAAATGGAATCAACAATGTATGCCATGGGCGATTATATAAGCATTAGATACCAAAAAGTTGGTATCTTAATAGTTGTCTAGTTTTGCTTATACTGCGATGGACTTATGGACAGCAGCTTAAACAAACAATGACAAAGTAATCTAGAAAAAACTTATCTTATTTTTGTATACATATATAGCAAAGAAATGAATCCTTAACCCCTTAACCATAAAAATAATATACTTTATGCGTATTTCGGCAACAAAGTTGTCATATTCAGCGCTAACGACAGACTGGTGTCTGTCAGATTTTGAGAATTATAATAAAATAAAATAAACAAAAAATATAACAATTTGTTTTTTTTTTAATTATATTTTTTGCTATAGGAACATTACATTTTTTTTTTTTGAGCTGCTGTTGATGTTGCTTAAACAAATAATTACTAACATATTATAAATAATATTAATAAATAAAACACCTACATGTTTACATCTATGTTTAAAAAGTACATACCTACTATAATAAAAAATTATATGAAAATCATTTAAATGATATATTAGCTGAAGCACTAAATAAAAATTACCAAAATCAGAAAAATACATTTTAAATTAATTTTACAGGACACCGTTTGTGTGTTTATATTGAAATACAATATCAACATTTCATTACTATTTCATTATCTATAGAAGTGTGATATTTTTAAGTATTAGTTTTACACTAATATATAGTAACTACTTATATATCATACTATATGATTTTAATCGTCAGTTATTTACAACTATTATCACTCTTTATATAGTAAAGAGTCTGTCCACTGTCTTTTATATAGTAAAACATTTATCACTGTGAAGTACCTATCCGTTTAGTGATTTTGGAAATAATTTAATGACTATTGATTTTCGAAATTGGTACATTATTTTACTTCTTTTTTCAAACTTTGAATTATTGAATTATTTTCATTTGGTAGGATACATTTTTAGTTACCCACCTGTAAAGACTAAATTAAAACAGTATAAAATTAAATGTATACTAATTATTTATCTACTATAATATAAAAGACGGCTGTGGATAAGTAAGTAATACGTATATTATGTAAATTGGTATTATTGACAAATTAATTAAAACAGTCATAGTTTAGTTTAGGTAATTAATGCACTGAATATAAATTGTCCGTATCTAATACATTTTAACGAAGAACTAGAACAATGACAAATAACATTTACATTTATATGCGTTCTGGGAGACAGCACATTTTTACCAGTTAGTGTTATGGTCCTAAAGCTACATTGTGTGATTTACTACAGGGTGTTCCAGAAAGCAGCCACATTTTGAAAATTCTATAACTTTTTTAATATTCGTCCAAATATATAAACAATTATTAAATAAAAATGTAAATCATAAGCAACATAGTAGGGATTAAAACTCTTTATTATTGAATACATTAAATTTTATTGACAATTTGGGCATAAGTGCGGTGTACAAAAATGATTTATTAAAAATATCATAAGTGCTGTAAAAAAATGTATCCTTATAATTCCTGTTTTAAATTATTCATCATTTAACTCTTGAATTAACGGCCATGCTGGTTCGTTATTTTGGCTTATACCATAAATATGGCCTTGAATGCATTTGTATCTGATATAAAATCCGATTGAATTTATTATAGTACAAGTGTCAATCATGTCACTCTGCGCATTTATTGTGTATGTACCTGGGTATTTAATACTTCTGTATAATCCCATTAAACGACACATGTCGTTAGAATTAAGAAAAAAGTTCGTTGGTGTTTCTCGATTTTGGTTTCTACCTTAAGAAACAAAAAAAAATATCATATTATATAGCATATTTGAATACCTAAACTATTATTCTTACATTTTTTTAAAAATTGTAATGAAAACAGGAAAAAAAATTGTAACTATAATAAATAATAATATTAGGTAGAATTTTACATAATTCAATATGAATATTTACTTAGTGCAGCGTTGATTAGAGCTGTTGTAAAGTATTTTGTTATTACTTTTCTTGCTTCTCTAAAAGCTTCCAGATTAACGGTCGGAACAATAAAGACTTGATAACAAAAATAATGAAGAAAAAATGTAATAATAAATGAATTGTTCGTGATAGCATTATATTGTATGTTAAATAACTATAATTTTACTGTTGCAACATATTATACATTATAACTACATTATCCGCTTACATAAAATATTAATTATTACTCTAACAGTTACCAATTTTTGTACAACCAAGTACAAGTACATACAGGTACTTTAATGATTCAATCATCTTAAAATACTAACCCCCACCCCACTTAAAAATTAAGAAAAACAATACTATCGAAGTAGCTATAAATTTGCATAATAATGAAATTAGAACTATGAACAACAAATTACAGATTCTCTGAAGAATAAGATCCAAATTTGTATAGAAATTTGAATGTTGTAATATTTTTTACTTAAATAAGACTCCCTAACGCTTCAAAATAATCAGAACAATCGCCAAACTTAAACCCTGACCTTTTAAACTTTTTAAGCAGTATGCTGAATGTTAAAATTCGTAACATGCCTCGGTATCAAATCTCTTAGGAAATATAGGTGAACAACAGCCTACAGCAAAGTTCAGTTCTCGCACCATTTCAGAGCAACTTGCACATTAGCGGTTTACCAGATAAAACTATTGAAAAATGTATTTATAATTGTGATTACCTCCGGTTATTACAGGTGCAGATTTTCCTGTAATCAATATATCAAATATTTGTACGGTTATAAAAATAATTTGCATTTTATACCTTGTCTATAACAGTAATCTAATCAGTACGTGTCTCTGTCGACCTGAGAGCAAAATTCTACATACTAGAACATTTACAAGAAGCTCTATCCACCGCTAATCAGAAAGAATCATAATTGAATTTCTTAAAAAAAACTATGTTATTCAATTTAATTTAAATCGACCTCTAATTTATTTTAATAACTAAACTTATCTATTAACAGCTAAAATAATAGCCAGTGACCCAGCAGTCAAGTCTTATGAAAAAAAAGTCATCTAACATTGAGAATATTTAGAATAATTAATCAATGTAAAACAATGAAATAATTTAAAACATCTAGTAGCCACAAGTGATATCCGACTAAGTTTTGAATGATCATTAATGCTTTAAACAAAACTATACAGAATTATTACTTTACAGAATTATACTTTGAATTTCCATCGAATATTTATCGTTTTTTTTATTTAGAACTATATATCTACTACTACTACAACTATCACTATTACTATAACTATAGAACTATATTATATAGATATAATAACCAAATTTATTTATTGTTCGTATAAAAAAGTTAAATTTTATATTTGCCTGTCACATGATGTATTGCTTGTTGCATTTGAAGCTGGTACCGTATCAGACCTTAAATTCGAAACAAGACACAATTTAATGTACATAGTTAATTATGACAGACATCAATACGCAGGTATATGATTAATAACAATATACACATATGAAAAATTTAACTATAAGACTTTGTGTAGAATACTATATAAATAAAATATGTAAAGGCGAATACCGTCTATGTTATGGTGTTGTGGTTCTGGAATTTAGAACAAAAACAAATGTATATATATAATAATCCTGTTGAAATATATCCATGAAATTAAAAAAAAAGCCATTACCTGGTATTACTGCCAACGTAAGAGAAATTTGCTCTGTATTTAACATAACATAAATGTATTATTACACTTTTTATTTTAATTTAATCGATACAGTTAATAAAACAATAGACATGTAGAAAAATTGTGCTTGGTATCTATTAATATTAAATTAATGGAACACTATTGTAGTAAAGTATCTAAATGCTTCATTATGATTAATACTAATTTGTGTATACATTTATAATTAAGAATGGAGACGGACAGACGGAAGAGTTACTTCTACAGTGTCTCACTTCTCAGGGTAAACCATTAGTTATTGTTTAGTTATAGAATTGTAATTACCCATCGTATATTCTCCTTGAATCATGTATTTAATTACTTGTGGAAATTCATCTAAAATAAAGAAAAAATAGTTTGAGGTATAAAAAAAACCAGTATCTGTAAAAACTGTGAATAAGTGTGTAGGCAAATTTCAGGAATTTTACAGGGGAGCGATTTTAAACTTTGAACAGCTGCCATATATCCCTACTTAGCCAATAACATCTCTCTCAAAATTTTCTTGTTGGTCCAACGAGCTAGACATTTATTCAAGGTGTGCTAGGTGCCTACATCCTAGCGTACATAGTCAACTTTTGAAAACCCTTAACCGCCAAAAAATCCTTAGATCGACTGCGAATAAACAACTTCCTAAGCGTGCTGGCTCTCCTATCTTCCCTTGAATGTTTATTTTTATTTACTAAGTTAAAAATCATATCAATAAAATTTAGAAATCTCTGATAATTTCAATTATTGACAACATTAAATATAATTGTATGACACGTCAATATTTCTATTCTTAAAACTGTAAAATGTATTATTTTTTGTAGTTGAGATTTTTTAAATATCTTATCTTATTTTTTTTTTATTTAAATACAAAAATGAGTTTTAAACGTTTTCCATGTTGGGATCAGCATGTGTAGACTTTCTGGATTATTTAAAATGTATTTTTTTTTCATTACTAAGCGGTTTCAGACGTTTGCACGGCTAAAGGAAAATTGTTCTAATTGTAAACTACTTAATAAAATATTTTAAACGTATAACTTATATTTTGTATCTTCTTGAAAAACTCTTTTTAAAAATCTTAAAATCAACATTCTATATCTTATATTTTAAGAGAAATTTGTTAATAAAATGTTTATAAGTTGTAACACATAGATATATATGATTTTGTTCGTATAAATTTAGTATGTACGCTGTTTTTAATTCACTGATACTTTACACCTCTCATTCATTCCTAATGCAAACATAGTAAAGTAATTATAATTTGTTCAACGCATTTGTTTTGGTAAATGGAAGACAAATATACAGCATAAGGTTCGCAGACGATATAGCCATAGTAGCCAAAAGCAAACGCGATTTGAGTAATTTGTTGATAAATTTACCAACAGCACTAGAACAAGTTCAGTTAAAAATAAATGCCAAAGAAACAAAAATACTAATAGTAGACAAACATGAAAAAGAAATGCAAAGAACTGTCAGTTTACATGGCACACCTATTGAAGAAGTAAAATAATTTTGCTACCTAGGTAACCATATCACGCAGGATAAAAAATACACAACAGAAAAATGAAGACTAGCTAATTAAAATTAGAAAGCTATTTATTAAAACGCATGTTTGGAGAAATAGAACAGAGGAAAAGCATTACTTGGTACTAACTTACACGTGTAATAAGGACCTCTAGACTAGGTACCAGTTGTCAGGTTGGCCACCTGCTAACCGACCGTCTATTTAATTATTATTTAATATTCAGACAAACATACCAACAACTTTTTATATAAGTATTTTAATTTCAATAATATAATGTTACCTCCTGCAATTCCCATATGCATGTCTGTAAAAAATCATATATAATTTAGTAACACTTAAAACATTACTTTATATGAAAAAAAAAAATTACTGACTTGTATTCATAACTGCTTTATAATATACCTCTATAAAATTGTTTTTTAAATTTAGTTTTTTTTATAGATTTCTACTACCTTGTGTAAGTACATGTAAACATGAATTAATAATCACCAAGTAAATTAGCTACCAAAACATTAACCAAGATAAACGATATTAGTACACATAAGAGTTTCATTTTTATCTGTAAATAATAATAAACGTTTGTGAATTAAGATTATGAAAATTTTAGAAACTTCTTTTAATTATTATACATTATTATTATAATACATTATTTCATTTGCAAACTACTAGACGGGTATATGGAGAGCTAATATAAAATTAAATATTTTTAACTATATTAAAGATAATCTACTTAAGTAACAAAATGTAATTAATTATATTAACTTAGAAGCGTGAACAAGCGCTTAAATTGTATAAAACTTTTTTTACTTTTGTCCTTAAAAAATATTATACACAATAACTACATTATTTGTACAATTTCTGCGATAAAAACTTTCGGATTATTGAAATTGAAATGACTGGTAGTTATAAATTTATCGCACGCAATTACAAGAAAACAAAAAGAAATAATTAGTCACAATTAATAAAATGTACTTACTGTAGAAGAAGTTGGTCAGTCTTACTTTCAATCCAAATATTTTTAAAGTGATAGATTTGTTAAAACTGTTTAAAAGTGCTTTTTTGAGACTTGTGGAAGGCCTTATGTCAGTCGAAACAGTGAAATCGAAATTAATTTCGCTGTATTAGAAATTATTGACATAATTGGTTTTTTTTATATGATTGCATATTTACATCATACCGAGTGATTCTTTTAACGCCCTACACTAGTTTACTCTTAAAAAACATTTTTTTAAAAAATTTTAAATAAATAGTTTTAAAGTTATAAATTTAAGATGGGACGAAGGGTAGAGAGTAAAGTTATTTTTATCTGCGCGCGTTTCTCAACCGCACTCCACCTCTCATCTTAAATTTTAAACTTAAATGTCTTGAAAAATAATTATTAAAAACTGGTTCCCGACCAGCCAAAATTTACTGAAAACCATTCTTTGTTTAAAAATTCTATTACCGTTCTGTTACCGTTTAAGTTTCAAAAGTTGATAAAACTCTAATTAACAATAAACAAGTTACAAATTTGAATATTGTCTAATAATGTACGTTAACATAAATAAAAATATTTTAAAAAAGAAACACTACAAAATTGTTATTATTTTAAGAGTAAACTAGTAAAACGCGTTAATAGTAGTGATGCGTGTCAAATTGTGTGTGAAATTGTTTACACACTATTTTCTTCTTTGTTTAAGGTTTTAATATCGATCGTAAGTCTAATGTACGGCTCGTTGCTATCAAGTTGACTCGAGAGGGCAATTGCTTTCCTCTTTTATTTGTTTAAGCAATGGCGAAGAACACCTTGCCTATTAAATATTCTTTACCTTTTATTCAGAGTGAACTTATCGTGAACCACTCAATATATCCCTTTTGTACTTACCAAATCTTTAAACGTATAATCCAACTAGAGGTTATCTATTAATATTTTGTGCTGTCCGTTAACGTTATCTAAAATCTGAAATGCACACAATAATATTAATATTACACTAATTAATTCTTATTAATTAGTGACTCGTTAATAATAATTATTAAGTACTATTACTTAATAATTAGTATAAACACATTAAGTATTAAACTACCAGCTAAACGCTAAATGCCTTTTGTAATAATGGTACTTGGCTCCCGGTCTTTGGGAAACCAAAGAAATATAACAATATTTAAGAGAAAATGTAATATCTTTACAAAGTCATAGCTAACGACTAGATGGTTGAAAATAAAAAATTCAAACGATAACATATTTAAAAAAATTTTCCTACAAATTTATGGAATCAAAAACATATGTTGCCATTTGAAAACGTAAACTTAGACCCTTTTTATCGTATAAGGGATGGAGATAAATATTGAAAAATAAAGTAAAACTTATACCAAAAAGAATAGGAAAAAAATCATTTTCAAAATATTCATATTTTCCGAGAAAATTAGTGTCTGTTAGTTGGATCACCCTGTTATAAGGATACATTTTCATTAGGTGTTTTGGCAACGCTGTTGATTTTTTAAAAATTATGTGTTGTTTTCACAACGAACAAACTTGAATGAATGGTTGATTCAAAATAACTAACTAAGTGAATGTATGCCAATAAATCGATTAAGGACAATTATCAAAAAGCTATTAAACAACTTTTGGCCACAACATAAAATTAATCATCACCTACCATTCGAGTACCGTGGTTACCATTGTTACAAACATTGTGTGGTGCCCTCTTAACATGGATATGTTTTTGGGCTGGGGGTCATTCTGAAATTCGTGTTACAATTCCGTACAATGGACATAAAGATAAACATAAATATCACATATACATAGACATAAATATCGAGATCATTTATTGAACAATAAATATGGGTACCGGGGTTCTAAAACAAGCACGTATAATGCGCTGTCACTCTCGTGGTTGCTAGTACCCTGGTATACACATTTTGTTGTGTTGCTTTGTTTATTTTAATTAATATATATATACACAAATTTCACGCATAGGGCCCTGGTACTTTTTCTTAACATAATAACGTTCTAAACAAATAGTTTTTAATAGGTTAAGCTATTCTGACGGTATGCGTCTCATGTAAGTTATCATCCGCTACAGCTGCTGAGCAATGCATAGCACACTTAACATAGGACCGTGGTACTTTGGAAGTGCGACAGTGGCGGTCGTCAATTTGCAATGTTTATACTTCATACAAATAAAATCGTTTTGGTTCTACGGACCCGTAATATCCATTTTTACGTATATTATTTAAAATTGTAGTTAATTTTCGGTTGTTATCAAAGTAATTGACATTTTAAAAAAAAATTGCTACAAATTGTAGAAAAATAATTTTTTTACTAGAATGATTTAAACATTTTAATTTTTTAATTTATTTATTTTCTCACGAGGAAAATCATAATTGATCGTATGTTTGTTATTTGTCGTGTTGCGTGTAAATCAAAAGCTCGACGGCAATGCCATTGGCAAATAATTTCAGCATGTGTCGAAACAAAAAAAATTCATAAACAGCAAATTTTATCAAAATGATCATACACAGTGTTCTTCAGTAAAAAAATGTTCACCATTTAGTGCTGTTGTGTGTGTTTTGTTTTTTAGACACTTCGATAATGCATGCACAAACGCAGATTTCAATACTAGTTTGGGTTGCTGTTTTTGGTTTTACACGTGTTGTGTCGGACGACATGAGTGATTTACAAAAAACGGAACTAGCTAACAAATTAAACAGGTTGGTGCATCATTCTGGCTGGCGGTTCATGGACGCTAAATTTATGATAAATATCAATAATCGCCTAGCAATCGTGGATCCCATAACCGTAATATTCGATGCCATATCGTCGAACCGGAACCCGATCGACAAATCCAACGTCGTTAATAAATACATGGAGATCTGGATTGTGCTCATGTGTAAATACGCCAAGATTATTTATGACTACTGGAGTCTCGTGGAAATGTTTATAGGGGTTTGCCAAAATGAAAAAAGAACGTCCACCCTTGGGTTTAAAAGGTATTGCGATTGTTTCGATTTGGTGCTGATGAAACTGCACGGCGTGTCGTCGATGTTCAAATCCATGAGAGATGCGTTGGATTTTATTTACTCGATAGGTCCGAAATCCAAACCTCAGCACAATATAATGGTCGCCACGCAGAAGTTGACCGATTTTACTGAAACTATACGACCGAGTATGTGGTTGAAATGGTCCACGCGGGGTTTCGACGAGTACGGGATCGATCACGAATTAAAATCAATAAGCGAATATGTCTTGGATGTGTATGACAAGAACGTAAATTGGTTTTTAACCAACCGTTGCATCGTTCCGTCACACGGAGAATGGACTACACAGAATTTAAACGAAGATTTTCTGAACAAAAAGAGCAGCCAGCTGATACCGCTGGAAATGACTATGTTGGAATATGTAGGAAACCAAATCGATGCTTTCGTTAATGTTATGTCACGTATTTCGTTCAATGATTTGGGCTTCGCATACGACGGCACAGGAAATGTCATGATCAGGAATATTTAAAATATAATTTGCACCTGATTTACTGCAGATTAACCATAAAATTATGTATTTTTGTTTAAAACAATTATAAGTAAATTCACTGCAACCAATGCACTGCATATCAATAACTGGATATCAATTAAAACGTGTCGACGTGGCATTTTATTTTACAACCTTATTTAGTACACGTAGACTAAAATAAATTAAGTAAATACGAAAAACACTTGTATTTTAAAACCAATAAGTAGCATATACATCAATAATCGTTTATGAAAATATAATATTTTAATTTTACTTGACTATAACGATGGAAATATACAGGTTGGTCCACTTATCGTAAACCACTCAATATCTCACTGGGTTTAATTAATAATTTAATTTTTTTTTCCAAAATGTTTTTATATAATGTGATCTCAATGTTTCACAATTTTTTTCGGTTTCACCCTTCTCTCAAATTAGTTTTTTCGATAGTAACTTTTGATTTTCAAATGTGATGATAGGTTTTTTTTTAAAAATTATGGTTCAAAACTAAAAAATAAAATATTTGGTCTAAAAAAATGTTAATTAGCTTAACGCATTGGTAAGTTATTAATATATAAAGGTAAGATTTAAACAACAAGATTTAACACAGTTGGGTGTTAAACCATAAAATGGATACTCAATCAATTTGTTTGTTATGCTTTGTCTTAGATAACTACTCGAAATTGTGAAATATTTTATTTCCTTACCAAGTACAGTTCAAATCAAACCGCACAATATGGAATTTCAAAAAAATATTTAGTATTTACAGTAAACGTTTTAAGTTGTATTGAAAATTTTGATTTTAAATTATAATTACCCATTCACAAATATTTGTACCTAACATTTCAAATATTTCTTTTTCTCCAATAAACTATTTTAAATAATTTATGATTTATGTTATTTTCCATAATAATCTTCCTACAACTGTATTATAATAATTACTAACTCTGTTCATAGTTTAATATATCAGCTTGAGGTTACCTATGTTGAACAGTTTGTACAGTTGATTGATTGAATAATTTGTTAGTATAACAAAAATATACTTCTAATAACTTACTGTAAGCTTGACAATTTTCAGCTTTTTCTCGATTGTTTAAAGAGGTATTATTTAATTTAGTTTAACATGAATTGACCTTACCCGATATTGTGATTTTATCATAAATGGCATATTTGATCTTTTTTGCAGTTTTAAATAAGTTAGATATTGTCTTTTAAACAGTTTAAGACAGTGTTTCAATATTGTTTTAAACTAATAATATGTAATTTAAGTAAATAGGTACTTAATGTTTGACAAGGAAATCTCGGACAAAAATTAGTCTCTAAAATTATTGTACTCCTGACTTTGTTAAATGAAATCATGCCTTATGAGTTATTATGTTTGTATTAATATAATATATAATAGTTTTATAAATGTTTAGGTAGTATTTATACAACCTTTTTACATATAAATATTATTTTATTTTCACAATGTTTACATTATAAGAAAAACTATTTACTAATCAAAACTTAACCGAAAACTGAGTCATTTATTTTCAGTCACCCGGTATATGTGAAAAAGTATTAAATAACAATAATATAAATACATCAAAAAAGCAACAAACGTGTTTAAAGTCGTGATTAAAACTCATTATTATTGAAAACTTTAATTTTATTGATAACTTGAGTATTAGTTTGGGATACAAAAGTTATTTAAATATAATGCTAATAAGACTGTAAAATAGGTACAAGTCATCGTTGTAATTCCTGGTCAAAATTATTTAACTCGTCAATAAATGGCTTGACTAGTAAATCCTTTTCGTTTATTTCCCAAATTACGCCACCAATGTATTTGTACCTTATGGTAAACAGATGGTTTATAACTACTAGTTCACAAATTCCATCATTGTAAGTAGCAAATTCTATATAATATGGACCTGGGTATTTTGCGCTTATGAACAATCCTATTAAACGACACATCATATAGTAGTCTTTATCACTTGGATTTTCTTTACCTTAAAAAAAAAAAAATACAAAATTCAGCTTAGTTGTAGGATAAAATTTTAAATTAGCAATTTAAAAAGCACCTTGTTTAATATGTGAAGTCGAATGTGTATAATAAAGAAGGTTAGTGATGACTAGATTTAAGATATTTTATGCATGTACAAAACCCTAATCAAGCATTAGGTATATTTGTTAAGAAATAAAATTGGATAAAAATAATTGATAAATAATTAAAAATATTATTATGTATATATGTATTAGGGTGGTCCAAAAAAAACTTTACTTTAGAATTTTGTTTCTGTAACCCCTCATTTTTTTCGATGATATAAAAAAATAATTCTGTGAAAATTTGGGTAGTTTGAGTCTTTTTCATTTATTTAAAAATCTATAATAAATAGCATAAAAGTGTTCGGATAAAATTTATAGAACTAACCATTTCCTATAAATTTAGTAATAGAAAATAATTCGCATAGCCATTTTTTTTTACGTAAAAAAGCAAAAAGTACATTTTTTAAGTATGGCTAAAAATATATATTTTTTTCAATTCATCAAGCATATCTGCCAGTCAGTTATAATTGAAAAACATTATGTTAAAAATCGTATATTGTGTATAAAAGCTCAATTAGGGAGGCCTAAAAGGCTTAATCCCACAAAAACTAGCACCCTCTCTAAAAAATAGTATTCATCAAAAGGTAAATTATAGTTTTGGGGGAAAATGCCAAACGAGTAATGTATATATTTTTTGTTTTTTGAATCACGCATCTTCAAGCAAATTTATTTTTGGGTTTCAATTCAACAGAATTATTTTTTTTATATCATAGAAAAAAATGAGGGGGTTACAGAAACAAAATTCTAAAGTAAGGGTTTTTTTGAACCTCTAATTATATATATAGAGATTATTAAAAATCATAATCATAACGTCACTACTAAGTAAAAATAAATTAGACATTAGTGAAATAAGTAAATAAATTTAGTTCTTATATGTCAGAAGAGTACTCTAGTTAAATATCCATGATGTGTGCGTTTTGTACTTCCATTACCAGAAAAAAAGTGAGTTTATGTGTTTGTATGATAAGAATGCTTGTATGTAAATAAGTTTTCCTTATATATTATGATTGTTACTTAAATATAACTATTGAAAAAGCCATTTTTTTAAAAAACTTAATAATACTACTACAATTAAAGCCATAATAAATTGTGTACACATTTGTATAGATATAAAATCATAAAAAAAAAATCGAATATTTACGTAATTCAAGACGAATTAAAATTTGTATAGCTTCTCTAGTTAAATTCCTTCTTGCATTTCCAGAAGCTGAGAGATTAACGTCTGCAAAATCGCCTTAAAAAAAATAAAAATAAATATAAAATAATTTGCTCTTGATAGAGTAACATTACATTTTCAACAACAACTGTTATGTTGCTAATTTTTGTATCACTTGCTTTTTGTACCTGAAAATTAAGTTATTGAGCCAAAGTATAAAATATTATAAACTCCCCCTATCCTTTCGAAATCGAGACTACACCTTTCCGCCTTCGACGAGGAAAAGGTATTGTCTTGCAATATTTTGTATTTTTAGTATTTTTTTTTTTGTCCCTGAACCCATATTTTCCATGTGTACATTTTTTCTTCAACTTAAAAGTATAACGCACAGTGCCTTTACTAAAAATAAAGAATTATTTCCCATTTTCTATAGAATGGTACACTTTAAACATATAATGATAGAAATCGTGAAAAGTTTTTCTTTTTTTTTTTCGATTTTTTGAGGTATAGTTTAAGGGTTTAAGCTCAGAAAACTAGATTTAACTTAGTTTTAGAGGCTCTAGCGTATACAAGTTTTTCAAAAATCTGTCGTCATATTTTTTCCAGCGAAACAATAAAATAAAGGAGAAAATTACACTTTCGTCAAACATGGTGACCTAACAGCGGCTCATGTCGTGGTTTGGAAAGCTAACCGGAATTGCTAATCAATTGTTGAGAGTTATTTCATGCAACCTCTTAAACGGTTGCTAAGTTTTACAGTTCTCAGTATGACACGTCTTGATAACTAGCAGAAAATGTAGACTAAGCAACGGCCAGCTATAGAATTCAGTAGCTCAACTTGTACAATAACGATTCACCAAACACGACCACTGAAAAATGTATACATGACCGTTTGTTACCTTCGTTTATCTCAGGTGCCTTGATACCTGCAACCAAAATAAAAAATATCAAAAAAGTGTACATTATAAAATTCATTATTTTATATTTCATCCGTGACAGTCATCCTGTGTTTGAGAACATTTAGACAAATTAATTAACTTAATTTAAGAAATTGAAATAATCAATTTTAATCAAAAAAAAGTTACATTTTTTATTTACCTGTTACAGATCTTATTACTGTTCGCAAATGATTCTGGCATACTGAACTTACTAAAATAAATAAATTCATTTAAATATACATAATTTATTCTGATAGAAATCAATAAGTAAGTATATGCTTATTCTCATCATACATAAATAACTGACTAAGAGGAAGATATGAAATTTTAAACATATAAAGGTTATTACGCGTTTGGTGGGATCCTGCAAAATCTGAAATTAAAATTAAAACACTTGTACTTGATGAATATCAAAAAACGTTGAAACGTTTTCATAAAATTTAAGACCATTATTACCCGGTACTGCAAACATAAAAACCATTCTCTCTGAAATTAACAAAACATAAAAGTATCAATTAGAAAATCCTGATTTTTTATGAACTAGATATGAGTATGTTTGAATCTATTGTATAAAATTGAGTAAATCTATGGCGATAGATTGCTGAATATAAGCAGATATGGCGAGTAGAATAAAATTTATAAAGATTAGATGATGTTAAAAGAGAGGTAATATGTAACATCAGCTATTTTCAGAAAGAAAAGTTCAAAAAGGGTGAGGTAAGACAAGGGTGTAATTTATCGCCAACATTATTAACTTATACATTGAGGAAGCGCTAAAAGATCTGAGAGATGAAGATATAGGAGAGATCAAGATTGACGGGATGCTAGTTCAGATGCTGCGATTCGCAGATGATACTATTGCTATGATAGAAGACAGTAAATAAAACCTAGAAAGAATGCTTAAAAAAATGAATAACACGCTTAAACAAGAATACAATATGAATATTAATTAGACGAAGACAAAGATACTAGTTGGTAGCAGACACCAATATAATCATGGACGGTATTAAGTTGGAAAATGTAAATAGTTACGTACATACCTCGGAAGCAGAGTCACGAGTGACGGGAAAAGTGACACAAGTGGCATAGGGTGTAGAATAGCACAAGCTAAACAAGTGATTTTCAAAAAGAACAAACCTCTAACCACAAATGCAATAAATATAAACATTAATAAAAACACTTGTATGGAGTGTGGCATTATATGGAGCTGAATCGTGGCCAATAATGAAAGCGGACCGAAGACAAATAGAGGCTTTCAAAAGCACATGGTGCTGGCGAAGAGTCTTAAAAATGTCTTAGACAGAACGAGTGACTAATGAAGAAGTGTATCAGAGGACAAATTAAATAAAATAATCAATATGCACGAACATCGTGGAGTAAAGAAAGAAGTGGATAGGATATCTCATAAGAAACAATACACGAATAACGACTATAATTGAGGGAAAACCCGAAAGGAAGCCAGGAAGAGGAAGTCCTAGGCAGATGTTCCTTGGCTTTAGTGGTTAGCCCCGAAGGGGATCCCCTGCGACTGCGGACCGACTAGTAGCACTGGGTGCTAATTGCGGGCCGGAGAAGGTATGTCACAAGAAGAAGTGACCTGTCAGAAGGCCACTTGTCGAAGGGCTCTACGTCGCGTTAGTCGCCTTTTACGACAGGAGCGAAGACCTTGGTAGTATTCTTTCTCCCCTAACCACGAGGATAAGAAGTCCTAGGCAGTCATATTATACAAAACCAATTGTGTTGAGTATAGGAAAAGAGTCTTATAGAGAACGGAAGAATATTTCATCATTTAACCAATCTATGGATTAAAAAAAAAAAAAAAAAATAGTTCAGGTTACCCATCGTATTTTTATCAAGGTCAACGACGTATCTTATTATTTCCGGCAATAGATCTAGAATAAATAAAAAAACGGTTTGATTTATAGAAAAAAATAGAATACTTAAACAATACTTATAATAGAAAAAAAGTGTATAGTATTTGAAAACCTTTAATTACAAAAAAAAAAAAGAGTACACCCTCAATAGGGGTGATTCATTTAAACGACGCGATAACGCCTATTTATTAAGGAGTTAGATATAGGCGATTTTTTTGAAAACTCTTCATTTAAAGCTTAAACTGTTATGTGTAATCATGAGTTTAGTAATTAGAACTCTTTTTAGAGAGCAAAGTTTAAGGGATTTAGGATAGAACTAAAAGGAGAGAAACATTCTTCATTAAAAGCCACTTTATTACTCGCTTATTACTTCTACTAATAATACTTACTACTACTTCTACTACTCAAAAACTAACAAAAATAGTACCCAAAATGTATTGGAAAAAAACAAAAAGTTTTTCATTTTAATTGAATTAAAGCATTGATAACGGTAATAGATCACGGTAACCAGAAAGGTCCTTTAATTGCAATTAAATTAAAAGAACAGTTCCTTAGAGTGTAAATATAAATGATTTGAATTATTAAATATAATATACACTGTATTTAAAAAAATAGTACTTTACATATAATTTTAACTTAACCTGGACAGAATGTAGCATATTGTTATATAATACAGTAGATATAATAGTTATTTTATTTTTAAAATCATTTGATAATCTGACATTTATCAAAGACATTATATATAAGCATTTTAATTATAAACATACTTTACCTTTCGCCAGTTCGATGTGTCGGTCTGTAAGACATATTATAAATAAATTAAATATTTTAAAACGTTATTTTATATTAACAAAAAAAAAATGGTCACCGACTTGTTATAATAACCAGCTTATGATATTTGTCTGTAAAAAAATTAAACTAAGATATTTTTTTTATTTGATTTCTACCGCCTCATGTAAGTCCATGTAAAAATTAAATAATCACCTATTATAGCTACCAAAACATTTACTAATGCCAATGATATTAAAATATGTAAAATTTTCATTATTGTCTGCAAATAATAACAAACATTAAATCATTTTATAGTAGACTCATTCGCTGTTTCAATATCGACTTCAAGGCAAAGCTGAGATGCTACAATGTTATTACATTTCATACATTTATTTTTATTTTTATAAAAATAGAGGTTTTTAAATTTTTTTTCCAAAAAATAGATTTTGACCAGTTTTAAATTTCCGAAATTTTTAAATCCTAAAATCAGAGACTTAAATGAAATATTTTCGTCTAATAACAGGGGTGGGCCGAGATTTATTTCTATTATTTTTTTAATAAAGAATTTTTTTTTTTTAAATCTGAAAAAAATACTTTAATTTCAGTTTTCTTATTTAAAATATGTCTTGGTAAATTTTGATTTTTTTTTCATATTTTGGGAGTAAAAAGTGAAAAATGTTCCTTACGAACAACATTAAAAATAATACAGGGGCATAGTGTGGATGCAGTGTGCCACGCGGCATCTGAAGTTAAGCTGTGTCCGTTACTGCTTGATCCAGGATGGGTGACCACCCGGCAAAATTTGTATTATTAAAAAAGAAATAGAAATAAATCTCGGCCCACTCCCGTTATTAGACGAAAAGATTTGATTTAAGACTCTGATTTTATAATACAAATTTCAGAAATTTAAAGCTGGTCGAAATGTATATTTCTTTTTAAATAACTCAAAAAACCTCTATTTTTAGGGCAAAAATTAGTGATAAAAATAAAAAATAAATATAAGTCTTATATAAGACCAAAAGAAGTAAAAAGAAAAAAAATTTGAGGAGGTCGGGCCGATGACCACGTGGTTTGCCTCATATATACCTAAAATATAATTTCTTATTATTGTTGATAATATTGACTTTGTTGTATTTAAGTGTTTTCTAGTTTTTCTATTTCTATATCATTATGAAAAATATATTTTAAATCTGAATACACCTTCAGAATATATTTCAGATTTTATATTGAAAATATAGTGAACAATAAAGAATATTAAGTGAATTTTGATTGAAGAGGGTTTTTGCTGTGATTTTTGTATATAAAATGTACTTACAATCTTAAAAGTTGGTCAGTGCAACTAAAATTAATTACTGAAATATCAGTTCGATCAGTTGAACTGTTTTATCATGATTTTCTTACGAATTGTAGATGATCTGTCATGTCGACCGAAATAGTAAAATCTAAATATATTTTGCAGAGCATATGTTGATTTGTTAACATAGCTGTTTTTCTAGTACGATAGTTCTAATAATATAATTTTATATTTACATTACTCTGACGTGTTTTACCAATATTTTCCATTTTTTTTTTTTTTTTTTTTGTAATTAAGACAAAATTTATAAATACATAATTATTTTAAACCAAACAGTTTGAATAAAATTGATTACATTATTGTAATCGAATCAGCTCCAAATTTGTATGGTGTATTTTGTTTTTGTACTACAGGTCTGAAAGCAAAATAAAAAGGATATCTATTGCGCAATTTAACCATAAGCAATTTTCATAAAAATCTGTTTTATAAAACTTGATATAGGTACGAATTGCCATTAGCTTTATCTGTGAAATTTAGTGATATATATACAGAGTGATGCAACTAACGTGAGACACTCATTTTCTCTACAAATATTATGCGAATTTTTTTCCCCTTATTTTTTAGGTACATATTTTACTATATTTTGAAAAGTTTTATCACCAATCCTTGTACGCCAAAAAGGGTCATTTTTGTTTTTTTTAACGGCAACATATGTTTTTAATTACATAAATTTGTGAACAAAAAATTAAAAAATATATTAGCGTTTGAATTATTTATTTTCATTTATCTGTTCATTAGCTATGGCTTTGTAAAGATACTACATTTCCTCTTAATAATAATTATCATAATTCTTCGAGTTTCCAAAACCGGTAGCACATAAAATTAATATTTATGCCCGCAAATTAATTAAGAAAAGACTTTTTGGGCTTTTTAAAAAATGATAAAGCGTTGGTTGTGTTAGGTATGTCGAAAGGGGATAAATGACTGCCTTGGGGCAAGCCGGAGCTAACAGCTATAGGTCAGGTAACTTACCACACATTTTAACTAATTGAGCTGGTTGGTCAAGTACAAGGATATCCATCTCAACATTTTACCACCAACTGCTATTCTACTAAATTTGGTAATCAATGACTTATGCTCAACCGTATCAAAAGCTTTACAATCAGCCAATTATGCCATACGTTTACATTTCGCTCTTATATGAGAAAACATATTATGCGCACTAGAAGAACTGGATACTTTAAATATTTTGTGTGCTATATTTTTTTTATTTTATCATGTTTCTTAAATCAACACTAAACCATTTAATGTTTTTAATTTTTAGAGTTCTAGAAAGTTTAGGAGAACTTGGAGGTAGGTTCCTGGTTTTTTAACATTTGCTTTAATCTTAGCAATTTTAACCTTTTACGCACTACGGGTATTTTAGCATAACGGTATTAAGATCTATATTTCATCATAATTCTCGTAAACACTAGAAATACTAATTTCCTAATTATTCAGAATTTGACGGGTATAATAAAATGTTTTCTATACCCAGTTGAAAAGTAATTGTATAGTTAAAACGGACAAAAAAAAAAAAATTGTTAAAAAATAAGATTTTGCAGATGCAGAAAATGATTTTTAGCTTCGACGAGTATTGTATTTACACAGATGGCTTTTTATTTTTTTTTTTTTTGCTATCTGGTTAGTCATAACAGCTCGGCGCGAATAAAATAAGCTAATAGTTTTGACATGTTTGAACAAAAAAATTAATTGAAACGAATAAATGTGTTAATACAATTTGTTTAAAATCTCGTGTACTTCAGTTAAAGATTTTCATAGAATAGTGCTACTGGGGTTTTTTTCTTTTTATTAGACGCCAAGACAATGAATTTGCAAAAGTTGGTTTCAATACTAGTTTGGGTGGCTGCAATTCGCTTTACACGCGTTGTGTCGGATGTGAGCAAAATAAAAAAATTGGAACTCATCGAAAAATTAAACACGCTGTTGTCACATCCGGGATGGCAGATAATGCACAACGTTAATATCGTGGAATCGTACATGGTTGGCGACAAAACAAGCAAAGCAATCGGATGTCCCATGTCCGCAATATACGAAGCCGTACTGTCGAACCGGAAGCCGGTCGACGAACTCAACGTATGGCAAAGGTACGATCAGGTATGGACTGTGCTCAGGTGTAAGTACGCCGAGGTTATCGAAAGGTACAGGGTACTGATAAAACATTTAATGGGCGTTTGCCGAAACGAAAAAAAAGACGATAAAGTAGCGCACGACCCTTCGCTTCAAAGGTATTTCAATTGTTTTCACTTGCTGCTGAACGATCTGCAAGTCATGTCGCCGAGGTTCAAATGCATGGCGGACGCGTTGGAATTGTTTTACTCGATAGGACCGCAAACGGTGCCCAGGCAAAACGTAATGGTGGCCACGCAAAAATTGACCGAGTTTACTTCAACCGTGATGTCGGACACCGTGACGAAATTGTCCATACGCGGTATTGACGAGTACGCGGTCGATCTCGAAATAAAAGCCATAACCAAATATTTGTTTATAGATATACTTCACTTAAACTTACATTGGTTTATCGACCATTATTGCGAAGTTCCGTCGTTGAAAAATTGGAATTTGAAAAAAGATTTTGACGACAAAAGGCGCAACGGTCTGATACCGCTGGAAATGACTATGTTGCAATATGTACAAGGCGAAATCGATAACTACGTTGATGAAATCTTTAACAGCATGTTCTACAATCTGGGGTTTGCATACGACGACACTGGAAACGTCATAATCAGGATTGATAGTTAAATTATATTATTATTAGCGCCGTGATACCGATTTACGGTGTAGATTAATCAACATAATATTATTATGTATATTGCATTTCCGACTCATGTAGATATTTTAGTTTAAAACTATAATTTATAACCTAACTTAATATCAAACAAAATGTTCAACGTGGAATTTTACGAGCACAGCCTTATACGTGTACACGTAGACTAAGATAACTGAAGTAACCAAAAATAAAATATTTATTAGCTTTTTAACAAAAATTTCTGTCACTTAAATTTGAGAAATATTAATAAACGCAAAATAATGTTGCATTTCTAAAATAAAAGCTGTTTTCCGTTAGTGGCTCTCCTCCTCCCAATTATTTAAATATCTTAACAAATATTGTCAAAAGTGAAAAACTCACAATGCTTATGTACTGTGAATTACAAAATGTGTTACAATTCTAGTTGTAAATTTGTTACAATAATTTGTTTTAAAAAATCAAGTTCTTACTTTAGCACACTTGAATGTTTAACACCGCCAATCTCAAAAAAAATGTAATAGTATGATTACTTACTTATTTATTGAGCTGAAATTTTAGTTAATTTTTATATTTTTATTAATATTTGGGTATTGAACAAGTTATTTCACAGTATTTTGAGTACTATTTCTATTGGTTAAAATAATAAGTAAACATGTACCTTTTTATTTGCTTAACGTGTAACAGGCTCTGTTACTAGTGATGTATGATATAAAAATAGTAAAATCTATCCTTAAGTTGATTAAACAAAGAAAAGATAGAAAAAACTTATCGTATTCCCTTGATCAATTAAAAATAAATGCTTTTATTTATAATATTTAGTTGCTATTTTTCTGTTTAAATTAGTTTATATCGGTTTTGAATTAGTTTTGATGCTTGCTTTGATATTACCCGGATTTTGCATTATTATTATGCATTATGGACATTTTGTCATATGCATGTCATTGAAATTAGTTTGATATCGCTGTTGACTAATTAAAGAGTTAAAAGCGACCATATTTTAACTTTTTAAAACATTAAATGTTGTATAATTTAAAAAGATTTAATATTTTTTGTACTTCGAAGTATTCATTTTTTACCATGTAAAATAAAAAAAACTAAAAACAAGTACTTGACAGTTATGTATTTTTTATTTCTTTTTCTTCTTTCCTTACCACTGAGGTAGGCATTTAGGATAAATTTTATATTTGCTATTATGAAAAACATGATACTAAATTGGTTTAGAACACTTCTTGGATCGATCACTAAATAATGATAGCGTTAATAGGTGGGTATAAATGTATGATTATGACCAAATATTTATTTTGGTAAACTAGATATTAACTAAGTAAATACATAGTAGTTGAGTGTTGACTTATTGTCTAAGTCTGTTTTTTTTTTTTTGCTAATTATATTTTAATATGTCTCATTACGAACAATATTTAATAAGCGTAAATGACAAATCTTCAGACCCAATGTCTGAAACAGACTATTGTGAAAGTCTCTTTAATGAGTTGGAAGACATAAAACAAGTTTGTTATAAATACTCATTTATAAAAAAAAAATTAAGTTTTTTAATATGTACAATTGGTTTTTCACAAATTATTAATTTAGGAAAATTACACACTAAAAATTAAAATCAAATTATTATCAGTGACAAAAGTGGTGACAAAAACTTTAGCTGAGATTTATACGGAAAAGGTGCAAATTGTAAGACAAATTTGAAAAAATTACAATTTTATAACTATTCGTTTTTTTATTAGTTTGTAAATAAAACTAAACTATTTTAATAAATAATAATATACAATTGTATTTTATGATTGATAAATTATAATGTTATACGGAAAATGGGTTTTCAGTTTTTGTCTTCTGAACACCGATTACACTTAATAAAGTTAACCAGATATCGAAATTAAGTCACACCGCAAAATTGTTTATCACTGTCGGAATTTAAAGAATGTTATCTATTCTGTGTTCAAAGTCTATAAACTCCCTGCAAAATACCAAAATACCAATAAAATACCTGCAAATACCTGTCTATACGAGTGTGGTTAGTCCAATATCAATCATTTTAATATTGGAGGTATCCGTTTAATCAGAAAAAAAAAGCTTTAGTAAAATGGAAAGATGAACAATTGTGATTTAATAACACGTTTAAATGGCCGACACAATAAACGCGGAGAGAAATGTTTAAATTTCCATCAATTTCAAATGAGTATAACTTTTTAATATATGAATAAAAATACAATTTTTGTTCACTCATTTTTTTTTAAAAACTATTCTAAATAAAATGGCTATCTAGAAAATAAAAACAAAAACGTAACAAAAAAAAAAAATTATTTAAAAAAATAAAACAGCTAAGTGCAATAAAAACCGTGGTTCTTATAGCGTAAATGAGTATAAATTATTTAAAAAAAAAAAAACTTAAAAATATTCACTAGAACAAAAGTTATTTCATTTGTCAAATCTCGTGGGCCACCTGTATATATATATATATATATCCATCTCCTGTATATATTATAATAGTGAAAGTAATTAATTTATTTTCGGTATATTATCATACCTTGCCATAGGCACCATTAGGGAAAGGGAGCTTAGGAGGTCTTAATACCCTCTAATATTTTTCGTGTTTATGTATTAAAACCTCTGCTTAAAACATTTTGCAGATTTGATAACAGTATTTAATATTTAGTATTATTTATCAATTTTAAGTGGCTCTCACACTTCCCATTAGTTCTGCATCTTGTCAACGTTAGTTTGCTGCTTTAAGAAAAAGAATAATATACCACAAGATGACGTGCGAATAATAAGTACCTAGAATATTATATTGTGTCGTACGGTAAACACATTATTTGATTGCATTTACTAGCGTTAACTGTCAGTCCATATTTATCACACCAGTCCATAAATCTATCTAAGTATTTTTGTAGCTCAGGACAGTCGTCCCTAGATTTAACTACATTGAATAACTTTAAATTATCCACAAACATGTAAAATTTACTATGTTTAAATATTAAAAAAAGAACAGGAGATAAATGACTGCCTTGGGGCAAGCCGGAGCTAACAGTTATAGGTCAGGTAACTTACCACACACTTTAACCAATTGAGTTGATTGGTCAAGTACGAGGATATCCATTTTAACACCTTCCGTTATTCTAATTCGGTAATCGATGACTTATGATCAACCGTAGCAAAAACTTTTCTAATATCAGTAAAAATAGTGTCAATTTGAAAACCCTATGATACATTGTCCGCTAAATACTGATAGAACACTACCAAATTGGTTTCTATGGACTTCCCTTTCTTAAAGCCATGTTGCTCATCAACTAAATTCCGCCTCAATGTAATAATTTAGAGAGTGAACTCAGCTTGCACGCTGGACGATAATTTAAGACCGATAAACGATTTCCTGATTTCCATAACGGGTAGACGTAGCTAACTTTCCAAACTAACGGAAAAATACCAGTGTCTAAAGATCAATTACACACTTTGAAAATAGGATAGGCTAATGCAAAGCAACAGTTTTTAAGAAATATATCTGGAACCATATCTGGCCCGGTTACAGGATCATTAATCAACTCTTCAAGCTCTTGGGAAATATGCGCTAATATAATAGAGCATTATAATATATTAGAATTACCTGGGGCATTGTAATTAACACTAGGTATTTGAATGTGTTCAGTGACATATACAGAGGAAAAATATTGACCGAATTACTTTGCCTAAGCTAAATTATTATCAGCTTCTTGATTATGAAGTTACAGGTACAGGTAAGTTGTATTTATTTTCCCTGTCTTTAACAAACCTCTAAAAACACCAATAGTTCATATTGAATTGTTTTTGTGCAAAATCAATAAACTTACTATGGAAAATTTTAGTCATACTTTTACATTTAGCTCTGATATGAGAAAACGCATTATGATCATAATAAGATCTGGATACTTTAAACATTTTGTGTGCTATATTTTCTATTTTATCATGTTTCTTAAATCAACACTAAAACGTTTAATATTTTTAATTGTTAGAGCTCTAGAAAGTTTAGGATAACGTGGAGGTAGGTTCTTAGTTTTTTAACATTTGCTTTAATCTTAGCCCATTAAATGCTTTTACGCACTACGGATATTTTAAAATAACGGTATTAAGATCTATATTTCATCATAATTCTTGATAACACTAGAAATACTAATTTTCTAATTATTCAGAATTTTAGGGGTATAAAAATAATGTTTCATTTTGAAAAATGTTTTCTGTACTTCGTTTAAAAGTAATTTTATAGTTAAAACAGACAAAAAAAAAGTTGTTAAAAAATAAGATTTTGCAGATGTAGAAAATGATTTTTAGCTTCGACGAGTATTGTATTTACACAGATGGCTTTTTATTTTTTTTTTTTTTGCTATCTGGTTAGTCATAACAGCTCGGCGCGAATATAATAAGCTAATAGTTTTGACATGTTTGAACAAAAAAATTAATTGAAACGAATAAATGTGTTAATACAATTTGTTTAAAATCTCGTGTACTTCAGTTAAAGATTTTCATAGAATAGTGCTACTGTGGTTTTTTTCTTTTTATTAGACTCCAAGACAATGAATTTGCAAAAGTTGGTTTCAATACTAGTTTGGGTGGCTGCAATTCGCTTTACACGCGTTATATCGGATGTGAGTGAATTAAAAAAATTGGAACTCATCGAAAAATTAAACACGTTGTTGTCACATCCGGGATGGCAGATAATGTACAACGTTAATATCGTGGAATCGTACATGGTTGGCGACGAAACAAACGAAGCAATCGGATGTCCCATGTCCGCAATATACGAAGCCGTACGGTCGAACCGGAAGCCGGTCGACGAACTCAACGTATGGCAGAGGTACGACCAGGTTTGGACTGTGCTCAGGTGTAAGTACGCCGAGGTTATCGAAAGGTACAGGGTACTGATAAAACATTTAATGGGCGTTTGCCGAAACGAAAAAAAAGAGGATAAAAAAGCGCACGACCCTTCGCTTCAAAGGTATTTCAATTGTTTTCACTTGCTTCTGAACAATCTGCAAGTCATGTCGCCGAGGTTCAAATGCATGGCGGACGCGTTGGAATTGTTTTACTCGATAGGACCGCAAACGGTGCCCAGGCAAAATGTAATGGTGGCCATGCAAAAATTGACCGAGTTTACTTCAACCGTGATGTCGGACACGGTGTCGAAATTGTCCATACGCGATATTGACGAGTACGCGGTCAATCTCGAAATAAAAGCCATAACCAAATTTTTGTTTGTAGATATACTCGTACAATTACAGTGGTTTATCGAACATTATTGCGAAGTTCCGTCGTTGAAAAATTGGAATTTGAAAAAAGATTTTGACGACAAAAGGCGCAACGGTCTGATACCGCTGGAAATGACTATGTTGCAATATGTACAAGGCGAAATCGATTACTACGTTGATGAAATCTTTTGCAGCATGTTCTACAATCTGGGGTTCGCATACGACGACACTGGAAACGTCATAATCAGGATTGATAGTTAAATTATGTTATTATTAGCGACAAAATACCGATTTACGGTGTAGATTAATCAACATAATATTATTATGTATACTGCATTTCCGGCTCATGTAGATATTTTAGTTTAAAACTATAATTTATAACCTAACTTAATATCAAACAAAATGTTCAACGTGGAATTTTACGAGCACAGCCTTATACGTGTACACGTAGACTAAGATAACTTAAGTAACCAAAAAAAAAATAATAATTAACTTTTTTACAAAAATTTCTGTCACTAAAATTTGAGAAATATTAATAAACGCAAAATAATGTTTGCATTTCTAAAGTTAAAGTTGTTTTCCGTTTTTGAAAAATGGAAGATTTGGTACTTTTTTCCATGAACGGCCACATTTTTAAAATTTTTAATTGTACGCAGTATTCATTAACAAATATACTCTAGTGATTCCCCTGTTAACATAGATATGTTATTAGGCTGAATACAAGAAATTTCATGTCACCATTTTTGTGTTACACTTTCATTTTAAGTTAGCAATAAGAGATTATCAAACAGATAATATAATCATATTACCTGTACATGCGAAAAAGTATAAAATAACGATATAAATACAATACATCAGCAACAGTTGTGTTTAAAATCGTGATTCAAATTGTTTATTATTAAATTTAATGACAATTTGGATATCAGTGTAGTATGTACAAATATTTTAATATAATAATAGCAGTACTTAGACTTGTAAAATAAGTCAATCCTAATGATTCGTAATTCAAATTATTGTAACTGATCAGAAAGTGGCTGAGTTAGGAGATTATTGCTAGCGTTTACTTCCCAAATTATGCCTTCAATTAATCTGTATGTGCTAGCACTCTTGTCTATAGCTTTCAGATTACAAGTTCCATCATTGTCATCAGCAGTGGTTATATATGAACTCGGGTACGTTACACTTCTGAATAATCCTATAAAACGACACATCAGGAAGAAATCCTTGTCACTTTTTCTGTGTTTACCTTAAAAAAATAAAATACCTTGCTTAGCTCATTTTTGTTAATACTTTTCTTTATTTGCAAGACTCAACAAATACACGTCTATAATTAATAAATGAATCGGGCATTTGAGAAATATGATATAATATTATACAGCCATATCACTAACATATATTTAGGTATATATATGTATAATGCATATTATGTAACGGTAAGAAAAATCTATATGAATATTTATGTATTTCGTCATGAATTATAGTTTTTATAGCTTCTCTAGTTATATTTCTTCTTGTAATTCCTAAATCAAGGAGAGTGACGCCTTCATAAACGCCTTAATAACAAATACAAATTATTAATTATGAGTTGGTTGCTCTTGATAGAGTTCCGTTATATTTAAAAAAACTATAATGTTGAAAATGTATGTATAAACTGTCATTTGTATCTAAAAGGTAATTTATTGATCCAAAAATGTACATTAAAAACATCTCCCCCGTTAATACAAAAAAAAATCAGCCTCAACGTGGAATTGAGAAAATAGTGTTTATACAATTATGGGTTTTTCGATTATATTCTTTGGTTTCAGACACATATCCTTGCGGTATATTATAATGAAGTGTGTTCATTGTATTTTTTTTTTTGTGTCTGGGCTTACGGTATTATCTTCGAAAGTGCTGAACCGATATATTTTTCTGTTAAAATTGTATAGATCAGTAATCGTACCTGTGGTCATTCATATGTACATCGGTTAAACAGGATGACCTACTGAAGTACGTGCTAGAGAACACGAAAAAGATGTGAACTACAAGAGAGGTCAAGAAGGTCACAGCGTAAACTTTGACGAAATTAAGGTCTTGTCCAGATAATCGCATGGTGAGAGAAGCCATAGAAATTGAAAAATGGACATCAAACTTTAGCCGGGAAGATAAATGGAAATTGATCAAAACGTGGAAACCAGTGATACATCTAATTGACGAAGACGTCCAAACCGGAGACCAAATGGAACGATGAGAGTAGGAAATACAACGAGAAACTATTGATAGCAGAAATGTAAATCAGCCGGTTGAAGCAAAGGGGCGTGGCCGTAGAAAACAGTTGGCAGCGACAGGAGGTGGCTGAGAGTGCGGCGGGGGGTGCGGTATATAACCCATGCCTGCGGAAACAGATCAGTCAGTCGACAGGAAACCACGGTGCGAGTAACATCGAACCATAATCCTGAAGATGGAGTGTGCAAATATTCCGAAACGTTTGCAAACAAGTCAAGCTACTTGAATGAGAGTATCCGCAAATTGTATAAATTGTGTAAATAATTTTACACTTTAACTGAAACTTACGGACTACAGCTTAGTATAACTTTATGAAAAGTAGTCTAATCAGCTCCTAATTTTTTTGTTTTTATTAGGTGTAGTTTTAGATCTTAAAGTATGAAAATTAGACTAAAAATGTTGATAATTTAACGTATAAGATTTTCAAAAATGTGTAGTCATCTATTTTCAATGAAAAAGGAGAAAAATTACACTTTGACCGTAGTATATTTCTAGGTGGATATGGAAGTGACTCGATAGTTATGTTGTAAATTACCATACATGGGAAACACCGGCAACAATATTGTACATAAAAGATCGGCACTAATAAATGTATGTGTCTAATACTCCGAGTATAATTTGAAACGCATCATAGCTTTTACAACGCATTTATCATTTTTTTTATATATTCAATAACATAAAAAAAAATTCATAACCACTTTTCTTGGAAATTATTTTTTCCCTATTTTTTTTGGCAAAGTAAAGTTTTGGCTAAGATACGACTTGAAGAGCTAATCAGCTAATAGTAGCAATTTACCAATCAAAACCTCCAAAATATTCACTTATACTTGTATTTACTTTCGTTTATCTCGGGTGCATTATAACCTATAACCAAAATATAAAATAATTACAATTAAAAAAATCAATTTTTTAAAATATTTTATCCGTCACAGTGATTTTAAAATTTAGAATATTTAAATAAATTATTCAATGTAAAAATGTAAACTTTTAATATCCAGGATTGAAAATTCGTTTAAGTTCAAATGACAAAGAAAGTTCCGCCAAATGTCCTCGTCGTGTCGGCGATTACAACATCAATTACAAGGGCTGTCCTATTTACAAGTCTTTTCTAAATAGGGAAAACAGGCAAACATTCTTTACGCTTCTAAAACTTCTAGACTTCCACAAATTTATAATCCTAATATCTTCGCCCAATCCAATCTTGAAATATACTCTAACGCTGTGATTTTTTCTTCCTCTATCTTCAATACCCTATCCCATTTCAATTTCTAAAAGCCATTATTAGCCTTTAATTAATTTGCTGCCCACAGTCCTCAATCCTCTATCTCATTTATAATTATTTTCAATTTGTATGTAATTGTATTAATTACATTTAGTTTATATGGGACTTCCATCGAATAGTAATTGTTTTTATTTAAAACTATATTATAATGACACTTAATAACTGTTTGTATAAAAGAGTTGAGCTTTATATTTACCTATTTTAGTTCTTATTTTTGATCGTATATGACCCTCGCATCGCAATATTCCTAAATTTCCAAACAAAATACATTTTAATGCACATCATTCCATTAGATAGAAATATAAAGGTTATTGCGCGTTGGCTTCATGTTTTTACATTCTAAAATTAAAATAAAAACATTTATAACTATTGTATATCAAACAAATATGTTGGAGTATGTCCATAAAATATTAAGAAAATAATCACCCGGTATTGCCAAAATAAGCGACATGTCCTCTGAAATTAACACAACATAAATGAAGTTAAGTATAAAACACAAATGTCTTATAAATTGGGAAAATAGATTTAAATAAAATGATTGGACACTATGATGTTAAAATGGCTGAATTGAAGCAGATGTGGAGAATAGAATGAATATAATGATTAGACGGGATTAGAAAAGGTAATATCAGCGTTAATTTCCGGTATGATTCTATTTAGATTTTATAGTAAAATTTGCGATTTACATCACTGATAAATTTGCTCAAAAATAAATTTTTGCAGTTCTGATATCAGAATGTTATTACTATGTTATTACTTAACATATAAAATATAAATTATCAAAATTATAGATTTTATATGCGCGATAAAAGTTTAGTAATCTTGTAAAACTTTTTTTAAGTGATATTCTTGCGACTTTCGGATGTGCATTTGTGACGACCGAAACAGTAAAATCTAAAGATATTTTAATGTGTGCCATTATAATTTGTTTGCATAGCTGTTATTATATTAGTATAACATATTTATATTACTCTGAATAAGTTTAGACTATTATCTTCTTTGGTTTTGGTGTCTTGATACTTTTAAAATTAATGTTGACATTAGTTTTATATGCTTTTAAGTACATAGTATTGTGCATAAAATTATACCGATAAAAATCTTAATAAACGCAGGTATAAGTGAAACAATAAAATGCATTTTTTTCTGGAAAAAGTTAATGACATAAGGCTTTGATCTTTGTCTCAGGGTATTTTCTTTTAAATTTCACACCTGGTAAATTATAATTAACTCAATGTTTAAAAACTAATATTATATATTTATATAATGTGATTTAAATTTGATAAAATATCATATAGAACCTAATATAACGCAGATCATAATATAATACACAAGTTGTCCAAATTAAGTATTTTCAACCAGATATGGTGTTATTTAATTATAACTAAAAAAATACTCAAATTTTGGTTCTATTGATTCCGAACGGGTCATATAATTTGCGCATGAAGAGTCTACAAGTAACTTTTGACGTTTTATTTTTAAATTGGATAATAATCTATTGAGCATTTTGATAACCGTTTAGGAAGTTTTTTTTAATGTAAAAAAACTAAGAAAATGATTTAAAACAAAGAAAATAATACAATAAATTTGCTATTTCCGAAAAAGATGTTTTTTAAAAAATAAATATATAAAAACATATTATTGTTGTAACAATATTTTCTTAGCTCTTTTTTAATTACACTTTTTTGTCTCAGTTCCGGGTTCAAAATTCATTGTTTTAAGATATGGATAGTTGATATTTTGTACATTAAAAACCGATATTGTTTAACTGTTTAATTAATTTTTCAGTATTACCTATATATATAAACGTATTACTTATCCACAGCCTTATTAAATAATAAAATTAAATAATGTATATATTTAAAAAAAATATAAAAATACTTTTTAGCTTTATGAATACTAATGGCTCTTATTTAGTGTGTATTAATTTATTTCCATAAAGATATACTTATAATACCTAATTTTTATAGTTAGGCTGCTAATTCTTAAACTATTCAAAGTTTTTAAGTAAAAATATTTAAGCTACAAAATAGTTTTAGCTCTCTTTCCTCCGAGGCCAGATTAGGTTTAAGGGAAGGTCTGCAGGCGTTCGTCTCCCTTTAGGCTGGTGCAAGATAACAGTAGTCAAAGATCTGAACTTAGGGTAATCTGCGTAGGGTCCTGGTACTCTTTCTTAATAAAATGTAATTCTAGCGCGGTGTGTTTAGGCAAGTTTTGCTTTTTTTATTTTGTATTATTCAAAACATATTTTGTTTTTTTAAGCTGATCTCACGGTATGTGTCTCATATAATTATCATCCGGTACAACTGCTGACCATATATAACAAACTTTAAATAGGACCCTGGTACTTTGGAAGTATATTTGTGATGTAGCTGAAAAAATTGCTTAAATTATAAAATATTTTACTATATTCATCTGTTGTTAACCGCTGAGGATAGAAACATTGCTCCCGAAGTACGGTCGAGTGCATTTTTGTGCTTAAGATTTTTTTTTAAATATTTCATGATTTTAGATTCGATGTACACCTGAGAAGGTGTTGTTTTTACAATAAGTTTTTTTTGTGTCTGGACCCATGATATCTTTAAGTCTTATACATTTTTAACGGATTGATAGGGTACCAAATCTTTATTTACTTCTAAACACATAAATATGCGAACAAGTAATAAATAATAATAATAATAATAATATAAATACCATATATACTCAACGAATGTGTTTATAGTCATGATTAAGACTGTTTATTATTGAATACATTACATTGAATATTAGTTTGGTATAACACAATTATTTAAATACAATGACAATAGTAATGTTAAACATAAAATACTTAAATTTTATATAATAGAGCTTAATGCAAAAATTATTCAAATATAATAATAATAGTACCATAAAATAAGTCAATTCTAACAATTTCTGATACAAATTATCCTAACTGATCAGCAAGTGGTTGAATCAGGTAATTATTTTCATTCATTTCCCAGATTGTGCCATCAAAGGATCTGTATATTAAGGTAATGATGTTGTTTTTAGCGTTTAGAGTACAAGTTTCATTATCGTCAACAGCATGCGTTATACATAAATCTGGGCAATGTATACTTCTCCACAATCCTATTAAACGACACAGCAAAGGGAAATTTAAGGTGTTTGGATCTCTTTCACCTTAAAACAAATATATAAAACTTATTATTCCTCAAATTTGTAAAAAGTACATTAAATAAAACAACATATAATTTATTTCATAATTAAGCTTATTAGAAACTTAACTAAAGTTTTACTTTGTTCAACGTGATATGTTATATTGAAGTGTATTTTGGACGATAAGAAAAGTACTAATGATGATTAGTTTTTATATATTTTACACATATCAAAATTTCTCGTCTAATAATAACTTATTATGGAGATATTTGTTAAACAAATAAAATTGGTTAAAAATAATTGAAATCGAAACCAAGATAGTCCATATACAATTAAAAAAGACTTTAACTTCATTGAAAAAATGAAATTTAATCATTATCTTACCAACAAGTGTATATTGATGAAATCGATGAATAGATGTGTGTCAAAAAGTGATCACAAACTTCAACGATAGAATTAATCTATGTAGACTCAATGGAGGAGGAGATAATATTTCAGATGTAGTATTTCATAATTAAATCGGATGAGTTATTATATTTTTAAAACCAGTTTTTTTTACGGGACAGGAACGGAATTTTTTGTACTATGATTATTATAATAATAGTTGTTGACGATTATTGTTTAAATATAACCATTGAAAAAGCAATTTCTTTATAAAGTTAGTACACTTAAAATTATTTAAAACAAAAATTATAAATTTATAGACTATAATATACATATATTTGTAATGGTAAAAAAAGTCTGTACATATATTTACTTATTTCAGCCCGAATTAAATTTTTTGTAGCTTCTCTAGCCATATCCCTTCTTGCGTTCCCATAAACTGAGAGATCAACTTCTTCAAAATCAGCTTAATAACAAATACATAATAAAATAAAATGATTTAGTTGCTCTTGATAGAATTGTATTACATTATAAACTGTAAAGCAGCTGATTTAGTGCAGGTAGGACAAAATTGATAAAAGTTTAGATCATATCTACAAAATTAGTAAAAACGCCGAAAAATGTACACATTTTTTTTAAACTTATAAGTCACGCTGTAAAATTATTAAAATTAGTAGGATTAGTTCCAAATTAGTATAAAATAGTTTTTAAATGTAGTATTTCCAATAGACTTTTACTAACTAATAAAATATTTTAGCCATTTCCCAAAAGGGAAGAAAGTTTATCTTTTTTTCTAAACCAAAAGAAATCTTAAAACCTTTCCGTGCAAACTTTTTTGTATGTATAAACTTTAAGCGTTGTTTTAGAACTCAAAATTTTAAAACAAAATTCTGGCAACAGAAGAGATTCCGGTTTCTTTAAAAATACAATCGCTATAGTAAAAACTGCTAAAAATTAACCTTCTAGCAGCTATTGACCTTCTCAGCACATGTTGCCAACGTTCTGAAAACTTCATGGACATTCATAGGATATCATTAATAATCGCATTAATTGAGAAATTACATTTAAGACCAAAGTGCAGCCGCTATGATCGATTATCGTGCCTGAACAGCAAACGCGTTTATAGAATGAGGCTTAAAAAGAAGAAAAAATTTCCCAAACTCTTAGGTATGGATCCCTAATGGCTAATGCGTCATTTCATGCCCAATCCTTTCCAACCTCTTAAACAGAAGACAAATTTTAAAGTCCGCAGTATGCATTCGTAACAAGACTAGCAGGCAATGTAAGCTAACTAACAGCCTACTTGTCCTCTCCTGTTTAAATTGTACAGTACCAGACACGACCTCCAAACTTATTAACTATAATTGTGATTACCTTCGTTTATATCAGGTCCCTTAATACCTGTAACCAAAACATAAAATATCAAAATATATTTATACGGTTGAAAAAATTAGCTTCGATTGGCATTTTTTTTGCCTGTATAAACTGTAACTTTTTTCAAACTGGACCAATTCCTTCGAGTAGCCACTCTATAAATCACAAATTTCATCTAGTTAATACTTTGGGGGGGGGGGGGGGTAAAATTTGAAAAAATTTACTTCTCCACAGTTAAAATTTGAAATAACAAAAAAAAAAAACCATACAAGTATAAAAGTTTGAACTTTTACTGGCTATAATTTCGAGAAAAAGAGTCGGATCGAATTGAAATTTATGAGAATTATTTATTTGGTATGCTCTCACACGTCAGAAGTCTTGAATTTAAATTATACCAATCTCCAATCCCAAATTTTTTTATCAAATCCCACAACATTTTTATGTAAATCTATTCAGAATGATATTATCGAGTTATACTGTGCTTGGTTTGGGCTTTACTGGATTGAAAATACTAACTACTGTTTTGGATCGAAGCGTTTTTTCGAAAATTATTTTATCACTTTCAGTTGTAATAATTCCTGTAAGCCTGTGACCTCCCCGTCCCTACTATACTCCGTCCTAACTATGCCCCGACTAGCTTTTTTTTTATATTTTATTTGTAACAGTCATCCCAAAATCTTAAAATCCTAAAACACTGAAAAATTAATCAATGTAAAATAATGAAAACAATTTTAAACTTTTAGTACCTATCCCCAATTTTGCCCAAGGTAGGATAATTATTATTAGTTTAAATTCCAATTGATTATTTTTTGTTTTTATTTAGAACTATACATTTATATATGAATATTGTATATAAATATATATGTCACATTTTATATTTACCTGTTGTATACCTTATTAATGCTCGCAAATGTATCTGGCACCATAAACTCACTAAAATGTATGACAAATACATATGTAAGAAAATGATTATTCTTGATGTACATAAAATATTTACTAAAAAGACTATGAGTGCAAAGTGATGTAAATATGAAACATATAAAGGTTATTACGCGTTCGGTTATAGTCTGCAAAATCTGAAATTAAAATAAGAACATTTCACTTAATGGATATCAAATAACTATGTTGAAATATTTCCATAAAATATTACCCGGTACTGCCAACATAAAATTAATTTCCTCTGTAATTAATAAAACGAACATAATGTAAAGTTTAGTTTTTTATTCTAACATAAACAAGAAGACAAGTAATATACACATATTATGTTTTATAAATCAAAAAAAAAATGTGCTTGGGACCAACTATACCTATATAAATTATGTGGAGAATAAAATGGCAATAAAATAGAAGAAGAAAAAGAGTAGAATAAAATATAATGATTAAACGAATTAAGACACCAAGGTATAACACTAGACTTGTCTGTCATAACGTCTCCATTTTAATCTTAGAGTAAAATTTAATATTTATTTCGCTGAATTACAATTGCATAAAGATAATTTGTTGCACTTTTTATATCAATTGCACATCATCGTTCATCTGGTATTATAATATCATTATTAGTATTATTTTATTTATTATATAATTATAATTACCCATCGAATAATTTTTATAGTAAATGGCATTTCTTATTACTGTTCGCAATTGATCTAGAATAATAAAAATAAAGGTTTTTCCATAGCTCTATCAAATTTTAAATTTAAATAGTAGCGTATGTGTTTCATTTACTTTTTAAAGTAAGGTGCTAACAATTTGAGTGGTCGATTAGCAGTTATAGATAATTACTTTTCAAGTTACTTAAGATTAAATCTTAGGACGGGTGAAACTATGGAGTGTAGTATATTTTTAAATTTGTAATTATCCAAAGCTGTTTATCGATAAATCATTTGATTATTATCAGACAAACATACTGAAAACATTATATTTTAGTGTTTAAATTTTAAACAAATTTTACCTCCTGCAAGCTCGATGTGTTTGTCTGTAATAAATTATACAAATATAGTCTAAACACAAAAAAAAATATTTAATATACAAACAACTCTTTACGTACTGGTTCTGATAACCTCCTTGTCATAGTCATCTGTACAAATGTTAAATGGTGAGTTCTTTTTTTATAGCTATGTACTTGCACTTGTAGAGAAGTTAAAAAATAAATATTCACCTAATGCAGCTAACAATACGTTTACTAAGGTAAGTGACAATATTATAACGTACAAACGTTTCATTTTATTCTGCAAATTATAACAAATAATTAATCTTCTACTTAAGAAGTTCTTTTGTTAGACTCAGTCAATTTATAATTATCAGCTTCAATGAGGAGCTGGTTGCTACAATAATGTATTTAATTATGCATATTTTGACTAGACGATAACCAGTTTTAGATAATTGCTGTTTAAATTAATAAAGGTTAACATTTAAGATGAGAGATGGAATTTTTATCTGCGGACAAAACTCTTTGCACTCCACCTCCCACCCTAAACTTTATACTTAAATAAGTCAAAAATCTCAGCAAATAATTCTTAATATAATGACTTGAATTAAAAAAAAAATTAATCTAGCACAAAAGCTATTCCATTTGTCTTATCTTTGTAAAACAGTCTGTATTATTATTTTACACAGAGTGCTTTTAGTACATTTTTTTGAGTATCTTAAATTAAAAAAAATATATAAAATAATTTAAAAATGAAAACAGTTAAGAGCAATAACACTGTTGTGTTTATAGCGCAAATGAGTATAAAAAAAAAATTAATTTAAAATATTGATTTAAAAATATTCAATAGAACAAAAGTTATTTCATTTGTTTTGTAGATTAACAAGTTACCGCAGGTAAGCACAATACGACTAATATTCACAGACTTCGAATATTATTTTTAAAAAACCTAATAATATATTTATAAAAAACTTACAGTATTTGAAGTATTAGAGTATATATATATATTACTTAAAATACTAAAATTAAAAAGCCCTATATCAGTATTTATAGTAATTATAAATTATGTGTACAATTTTCCGACTTGGTGGTTAAAAAGTTATTGTAAGCAAATACAAAAGTAATCAGTGAAATTTAACAATATGTATAAATAATGTACTTACAATATTGGATAATTATTAACAGTAGAACTTATAAGCAAAATTCACATTTGACCAGCTTGTTAATCTGTTTTGATGTAGTTATCTAACAACCTGTAAATGGGTTTTTATGTCGACCAAAACAGTTAAAATCTAAATATACATTGCAGAGTGTTAATATATATTTATATAGCTATGTTAATATGTTAATTATAATTTATATAGCTGTTTTTTTATATATTGTTTTTTTGCATATTTACATTACTCTGACGCAAGCTTAGACTATTTTATTCTTAATTATTGATTTCCATAATCTTCATAAAGTTAATGTTTACACTTGTATGCTTGTACACTTATATTATCGTGTCTGCTATTCTATCGATAAACATCTTAATAAAGTTAGGAATAATTATGAGTGAAACAATATAATATGAAGTTATAATTTTTTTTTTTTACGATTTATGGCACAAGGCCCTCAATTTTGTTTAATGATGTATTTAACGTTTCTTACCCTTCAAACCAAAACTTACTATTAATGTGAAAATCATAAGATGTGTTCTGTATTAAATCTCACGATTATTGTACACAAACAGTCGTAGATTTTCTAATATTTCAACCAATTTATGTTAACACTTTTGAATTATTAAAATTTCCTTTATTATCTCAAATCATCCACTAAACATGTATGCCATTACAAGGAATGATTCTATATGAAAAAAAATTTAATATTATAAGGATTCAAAAAGGATTCATACGGGAGGTAGGGTGTAGTCGGGGACATTTAGCATATTTGTGTCTGCAATTATTGTTAATATTGTTTTTATTTATTAAATAAATATTTGCACATCAATGTGCACACGTGTATTAAGCAGAGTATGTTATTAATATACCAAGGTCATGTAAAGCTTATGTTTGTATAAGAATTGCGTCTTACTATATTCAAAATATTGTATTAAACAAATTTCTTGGATTCCCGGCCCAAGGGGTACACTCGAACTGCGCCAAGACTACATAGACTGCTCCCCATTTGTATTAGCAGATATAGGTCAATATAATAGCAGGTGGTTTAATTAACACATGGACTGTGCCCAAACTAGATAAATTCCAAAATAGTTTAAAAAAACTGTCACACATAGATGGCTAGGTACTGTAAATCATTTTTTAAAGCTGTTATTAGTGTAGAACTTTTAATATGTTTTAATTTAATTTAGCCATCTGGACGTTTTCTTTAGAGCACACGAGATGTGCTACCTGCTATTTTGGTACAGTTCATATGCAACAGGTCCAGCCAACCCTAAAACCTCAAGAAAACCGGGGGTTATTTGAGCTACTAATTAAAAACCAAATTTCACATCAAATAAATATTGTAATTGACTAAAATGTTAATTTATTTTACATATTATTTATCTTACATTAATTATATCTTCACTATTGAAATGCATTCTAAATTCCAAAACAACATAATATTATATCATACTGGTTGCCCAAATGATGTATTTCTTAACCAGATATTATGTTTGTCAATGTGTAAATGTGATATGTTTCTTTTGGGGAATCTATCAGTAAATCTGGATGGCTTGGTTTTTAAGTGGATATTAATGTATTGAATATTTTGACTGGTCAATAATACAGTATGCGATTGGTACTATGGCAGGTCCAAAGTAGAAAAATTCAACTCCTTTTACCCAAAAACCGGGAAAACCGAAGACCGAATTGACCGGTTTATAAACTTTCAACTTTGAAGTTGAAATTTGTATAGCTAATTTATTTAATAGGCATGCTTCTATCAATAAATTGCCTTAATTTGAAATTTAAATAATTCTGCACCTTCCCCTTCCCCCCCCACAGGGGTAGACATTTTAAAATATTTTTTGGCGCAACCATCAGACTTAAGAGCTAACAATTAGACTGAAGATAGGTCTGATATTCTCTTTTGACATTTTCATGTCTTTGCTCTGGCACATAACCGAAAAAAACGTTACCAAAAGAGCGTTCTTTACACAAGCGTTACAGGGGTTGGGAGATAGGGGGTGGGAGATAGGGGTGGGAGATAGGGTAGGAGATAGAGGTAGGAGATAGGGTAGGATATAGGGGGAGGTGGGAGATAGGGGTAGGAGATAGGGGTAGGAGATAGGGGTAGGAGATAGGGGTAGGAGATAGGAGGTGGGAGATAGGGGTGGGAGTTAGTGGGTAGGAGATAAGGGTAAGAGATAAGAGATATGTTGTACATTCAACGTTCAAATTAGAACTAAATGATAAATTCAAAATAAATTAAGGGCCCAAATTCTCTATGAATTGTTTTAAGCCAGATATTAAACACTACAATATTAGCCAGAAACTTGATGTTTTAATATACTAGCTTGTTACTGCTTCTTAATATACTATATCATAATCTATAATTCCACCACTACTCTAAATTTATTCATATATCATATATACTTACAAAAAAAAATAAAAGAACACTGAATAATTTGTTAAGCTAAATTAAAAAAAAAATGAATAAAAAACTAAAAAAAATTACTGTTTCCGCCCAGGATCGAACTGGGGACCTTCTGCGTGTTAGGCAGATGTGATAACCGCTACACCACGGAAACGATGACTAGGTTTGATCTATTCGAATAGTTTTAAGTAGGCAACGGCTAATAAAATTAAGTTATAGATTATGGCGTGTTCACTGTTCACGCTTGTGCAATTAAATTTAATGTGAAACTTGATAGCAATATATTAAATGCAAGTGCACAGAAAAAAATACATAGTTGGTCCAACTAAAATAATTATGGTTAATATAGGGTCCATATGGACACAAATAAATTTCTAGTTGGAATAACTAAATAAATATAGTGGGAACAAATAAATTTGTAGCAATTATACATTTAGTTCGGCTAATATACGTTACACAGTATTATTTTGTTGTGATTAAGGGTTTATTTAAATATTTTATAAGTAGATCTGATATATATCTGAAAAATATTATACACAATAAAATCTGTACTTAAAATTATTTTTTACTGGGAAAAAACTCAAAAGCTACAACTGATGGATTTTGAAAGCTATTTTTGATTTATTAACTTAAAAATGTAATACTATATAGAAATAATGTGTTAGGACAACATAAAACAGTTTTTGTAATTATTTTCTGTCACTAAACTTATGATAAATAAATTGAGAATTCTCAAATATGTACTTTACAATTTAAGCATATATTTTCTCTTGGTATTTAGGTTAGTAAAAAAAAAAATGAATTCTGAAAGTACAAAAAAATTATTGTAATTATATTGTTTCGCATATAATAGGAACTTATGTTTATTAAGATTTTTATCGATAGAATGTCAGACAATAATATATATTATACTTAGAAGCAAATAAAACTAAGCAAACATTAACTTTAAGTGAGTGTTATTTAAACCAATAATTAAAATGAATATAGTCTCAAATTGCGTCAGGGTAATGTAAATAATATTTTATCATATTAAAACAAAACTAAACAGCCATGTAAAATATAAATTAACAATAAAATACCATAACAAAAAAACATAACATAACACTCATAAAATTATATTTAGATTTCAGTTTTTCGGTTGACATAAAAACCTATTTACACTTGAAATAAAAAACGTTTAACAAGCTAGTCGAATTTAAATATTGCATATAAGTTCTATCATTTATTAATTGTAATTCAGTAACACTAACCAACTGTCAAGATTGTAAGTACATTATTTTTACTTTTTGTTATGTCTTATTAATTTTTATTTTGTATTTGTGTATTTGCTTACAAAAACGTTTTAACCGTCAAGTCAATTTAATTAAAAATCCCAAGTCAAGTTTACAGAAATTGTATTCATACAAGAATACTTACTTTTTGTGCTATTTATAGTGCCATAACTTATAAAAGTGTAAAATTTATAACTCAAGAATTTTGCGTTAAATCAGCTAATGAGGTAATAAAAATAAACTAAACAGCTAAAAATACAATTTTTTTACTCGTATCAATTAAGCTCACATGTATGAAATGGGCTATAAAACGCGTTGAATTTTTTTATATTTTGTATTTTTCTCAATAAATGAATAAACTGGACATTTTAAAAAGATGTTTGTTATGAATATTGTAATGTTATGATTCATGGAAATTGACCTCTTAAAAATAAAAACACATTGTAAAAAC